TAACAGGCGGATCACTAGGAGTCCTGAACATCCACCCTGTAGACCCTTCCCTAAAATACAAAAAGTACATTCTGAATACAAAAATTAATCTGAGTTCCATTATCTTCAGATTAAGACCCATTGTACCACACTTACGAGTGGTGCTCTGTTCTCTCTCAACAAGTGTAACATTTTCATGCTTTCTGATTTTAAGTATATATATTTTCACATTACAACACATATACTGAAACTTTTAAAATAAACTACTGGCCTGATAAAGCCAGAGTTTGGTCCATGTACTCCCTCCCCTCCCCACGGTGGTGACCATCATGACGACTGAAAAGGGGATGGACACAGGTATGCCAGTAATGTACACAGAAGGGCAGCCAAATGCATCCTGCTAAAATGCTCAACATGGCTGCAGGTACCCCCAGCGGCTCCTACGAGGAGTCTTCCCGCTGTGTCCCTTTTGCCCTGACCACTGGACTGGGGTCTCCAAGCTCACCCAGCTCCGGGCCTCATCTCCTCCAGCCAGTGCTCCGCCCGAAGACAAAGGTGGAGTGATCACATCTGATCCCCGCGTGAGCCCCATTCCATTGTCTGCAGCTCTCTGTCTTACCACCCCTGGGGAAAGCGCATTTGAGAACAGCGGGGACTCTCCCCAGAGGAAACCAGTAAGTGGGCTGTAAGGTGAAGCAAATGTCACTCTTCTCTGACGACCTCGTTTCCATTCATTAAATTACTGTAGCACATTAGAATAAACACACTGGGCAATTTCAGTACCCTAGAAAATGGCCTTTCCCTGGGAAACTTGTCTTTCGGGTACCAGGAGAATAAAGGGACTTTTTACATTTCCAAGAACAAAAAGATAGCATCAGCTCAGCTATCATTTAGTGAGGGTTGGAAACGGTGATGCTTGCGTGCTGCCTCAGCATCCAGCTGGGCATTAGCTGGACTTTCTCACGCCAGCAGCCAGTGTAGCCTCGGGGAGCTGGTCCCCCTCACCCCAGTGGGCAATTACTCAGCTGCTCGGGGGACTCTCCCTAAGGGCCCGCTAAGGCAGCCTGCACCACGGAGCTCACTGCCCATATCACATGTCACAGTGCCCTCAAGCTCTGTGTGACTCCTGGAACTTGTGTCTGCCGACTTTAGATCAAGCAGTTAAAACTCCTCTGGGGAAATTCATTTGGAGAACACCTCCTGACCCCAGGGAGTCACTGGCCTGCCACTCCTTTTCTCTCTCTTCCTGACCTCTGTGTGTAAATGGCTATTGGGTGTGCTGTGTATCCACCAGGACCTGGAAGTAATAAAACCCTTATTTCTTCTACATTGCATCTTTCCTATTTACTGGAGGCTCTTGTCTTAAAAATACTGAATTAAAAAAGTGGAGAAATGGGCTGGGGAGACAGCTGAGTGTCTAAGTGCCTGGCTGGCAAGCGCAAGGACCCAGGTTTGATCCCAGGTACCACATGCCATGCCAGCCACCAAAACTGGGTGGCTGCACACCTGTAATTCCAGCACTGGGTAGGCTGAGACTGAGTCCGAGCTTCATAGTAAGACCCTGTACCAAATAAATATATATTTTTTAAAGTACAGAAATGTACAAAGCACTTATCTCTATTGTCTGTCTTATTCTACACTTAAGCACTGGGATGACAGGATGGCTTTGATGACAGGACGCTAGAGTCAAGGGCCCGGGTTCCAATCCTGTCTCTGCTACTAATAAACTGTGTATTCCTAGTGCCTTAGGACCCAAGGTGGCGCACGGGGGTAAGTCACACAACAGAAGAGTTAGAACGGTGCTTAGTACGTGACCAATGTGCAAAATGTCTTCAGTGATCATTGCTACTATTTTTCCCATTTGTATAAATCAGGAAACTAAGGTTTAAAAAACATGTACTTTGCCCCGAGTCACTGAGCTAATGCACATCTTTTGTCTGTGAAGGCCATCATGTCGTACACAGTCGCTAGCAGTCGGCAGCAGGAGCAGCAACTGGATGTCGGGCCCCCACAGCATAATTTTTCTCCCCGCTGCACCACACACCAGAGGAACAGAAGGCACGGGCTGCTGGGCTGCTTTCTGGGGACTGTCTGAAATGTCGCCGTATGGCAAAAGGATCTACCTAGGGCCACGCTCGAATAAAAAGCCGGTGCACAATCTTCATACACGCAACCCTGTATACAAGGTGATAGAAATATACGATTACTGTTTAAATCTTTTAAAACTTATTATGTCTTAAAGTAAAAGACATATTGCCCTCAATCCCCTTCAAAATATTCCTCTTGCTTCAAACATACTTCTCTCTCCATTCTTTCCATTTTCCGAAGCCGATCTGGAAGTTCCCTTTCCTGACTTTACAAGGTGTGATAAAAAAATATAGTGAATGTTGCTGTCGTGTGTCGCCCAGTGGAAAGCAGACTCGCAAAAGCACCACCACGTGTGTTCTGGCCCACTCCTCTCACTGGCACTGGCACCCCGTGTGTTCTGGTTTGTGTGCATTTGCTCCCCCGCCCCCGCCAAAGCCTCAGGCAGTCACTGAGACCCAGTTCTACAGTTTGTGATTAATTCATGATCCAAGGTTGGGATTACCGGTGTGATTACTGCTAGGGTTCTTGTAGGCAGCTGAATTAGATAAAAAATATTATAGGCAGTCAGACAGGGCCAGGCCCTCAAAGGAGATAACACAGAGACAATATACCTTACAACAGTGGGAAGGACGGATGCTCTTGCTGTGAGCCAGACCTACAGACCAAAGATCAAACAAATGCTGACCTCCCTAAAGATTTTCATCAGGATTGATCGTCACTCTGAGGGAGCCAGAAGAATCATTAATCTGAATACTACCGGCTAGCTGCTGGACAAAGTCCTGCTCTATATTCATGCCCGCTTGCTACGTGACTCGCTTCCCCATTTGGTCCTGGACTTTATCAGTTTTACCACTGAGCAATGGTGCTTGTAATGTCATCGGCTGACCATAGTTTTGTCCCACCCCACTTCCATCTAAGTGAGTTCCCACGTTCTCCACCACCGTAGACCCTCCTCACCGCATGGTTATAAAAGTCCCTGGAAGCGACAGCTTCCCAGAGACAATCTGCTCGGGTCCCCCTCCTGTCTCTCTCTTGGACAGGAGCTTCTTTCTCCCAGTAAATATATTCTGCTCATAGCCTCTGTTTGTTCCTAAAATTCATTCTTTGCCCTCTAGAACCGCCTCAGAAAGTGGCAAGAGTGTGGAGAAGCTCATGCAGAGCAAGGGGGAGTTTTCTGAGGTGCAGTAGTGACTGTGTCTTTTACTCTAATAATTTTTTAAAACTTCAAACATTCACTCTATCTTTGTTTTTAGTTACACTTTGTATATAATTAGGCAGTTCCTCCTTTGTCCTTGACACAAAGCATCGAACGAGGCCCTCGGTGTGGCAGGTGTCAGCGCTGGAGAGCAAAGGGCTGTGCAGCGAGGGGACACACACACCTTGCTTACCCACAACGGGCAGTACCCCTCCTCCCCCGGCCCTGGACTTACGACGCTGTTTGGGTTGTGCTTCCAGGCCGGAGCCTGCTCCCATCCCCACGGAAACCCACAGTCAGGGGCCTTCCTCACAGACAGACCACACAGGCCTGGTCCAGTAACATGTGCCCTTGCAAATATTTTATGCTTCCATAAAATGAAAGGTCACTGATAACAGCATTTGCAATGATTAGCGCCACATTTTTCTGTAAAGAAAGAAAAGGAATTGAGGCTGGAGCCCAGGCATCTCTGGATGACTGACACTACTTCGTTACCATGCAAACATGAACGGACCCTGAGCAGGTGCTGACGCCTGCGAGCACATTTCAGCTCCTCTCGCTAAGCTTTTTCCTTTTTCTAAACCACATCTGTGAACCAGAGAAATTATGCTTCCTGGGGCTGCGGGTACAGCTCGGCTGTACAGCACCTGCCTGGGAAGCGCAAGGGCCTGAGTTTGATTCCTGGTTCTAAAAAAAGAGAGAAAGAAATAAAGAAATTATGTTTCTTCTTTTTAGCATCACACTTAGAACTGCTGCTGGCCTCTGGCCTGCTCCCTAACTGGACCCAGGCGGAGGCAACCGCCAAGCAGACGCTAACTTCAGCCCTGCCACGCCAAGCTGGAGGCAGATGACTGGCAGATAGGTTACTCTTGCTATTTCCTCTAAACCAGATTTGGGATTTTGTTTCATTCTCCAATCAAACAAACCTACAGCCAAGTCACCTACCAGACCTATGTATATACTTTTTCAGAGTGAAAGGAGAAAGTTGAATGGCAAACAAGAGGAATATTTATATTCAAAAGCTCTCTTTGCAAGCACAGACTTTGAGAAAATACAGTGATATTTAAACCAATATCTGGTCAACCTAGTTCCTAGGTGGAATACAAAACACAGGTTGGAAGGTCTACTCATCTCAATAAGAAGGTAGGTGGATGCTGGTGCCGGTCCTGAAGGACCAGGGCAGTCCACGACAGCTGGCTGTGGCCACAGATGACACACCCACAGGCATACAACTACAGCACAGTAAATAGTATCTAATACTAAATATCAACGTGCAAACACAGATGCCCTGCGGGATTTACTCGGCCTACCACGCTTTTAATTTCCTTTTAAGTCAGTCTTCTGCGATAAAATTACTCTCTGTGGAAGGCTGGTGCTAATATTGATTAGAGAATCTTTTATGCCCATACCCTGGACTCTGAATAGCTACTTTAAAGATAACAACATATGATATATTAACTATTTTTATTGTCCTATTATTTTGTTATAAAATTTTGTTTTATTTTTTCCCCATAAAATAAATAAAATCACCCTTGTTATTCATTAGACAGAGTTTAAATTTGTGCCATGGTTTCTGACCACTCTGTCTCATGTTATGCTCCCTGTGAAGCATCAGGTTTCGCAGCCAGCACGGCTGAAGTCAGTACCAGCTTGGGCAGCAGAGTGTATTGGCCGCGTCGCGCAGGATGGAGACAAGGGCCACTTTCTCCCAGCTCAGCGGAGCAGACGTCAGACTCACCAGATGTTGGGTAAAAGTAGAAACATCCTCTGTGCAGTTGTCAGAGTTCATGCTCAGCAACCTCCCAAGTCTAGGGGAGCTCAGAACCCGAAAAGTCACAGTTCTGTTTCCAGCATCATTAGTCACGACCTTCAGGTCCTGAGGCGAAAGGGGCTTCGCAGAGCCTAAGGAAAGGTGGACACAGGTGCATGAGGAGAGCATTCAGGGAGGCTCCCTTTCATGAAAGGGATTTTTATAGACCCCCGAAACTCCATGGGAAACGCATGGGTATGAGTGTTGCCTCGCTCTAACTTGACCCTGAGCTTCGCGGTACTGTTGATCCTTGAGGCATCCGTTTCCGGGCACGATTTGCTACCAGCACCCCAGGAGAACCCAGTTTCTGACCACCCCTCTCTTTCCCGGCCCAGACCTGAGTGTGTCAAATGGGTCCTGCTCAGTGCAGGGAATATAAAGCAAAAGCAGCTGATATCATGCTGGGAAGACAACAGAAAGGCCCCCTTCCCTTGGAGAGCAGACATGTGTTCTTATGAGGTGACTCCTGGGGAGCCCACACCTGCATGCCTCATGGAACTCGTACAGAGCAAAGGCCCATGTGAACACCAAGGGAGTGGGAGGTTGGGAAGGGCTGGCGTTGACAACAGAGGTCCTGGTGCAATGGTGGCCTCACCGGCAACCAAGGGCCAAAGAGGCTTGGGTACACTCGGAGTGTTATAACCTGTGCAATTGATTCCAATTTTGTAACTCTGTATGTTTCCACTGTAACTTTATTAACAAGGACTGTTTGGTATAAGCTGACAACTTAAACTCCATCTTGTAACAAGCTTTGTAACTTCTGTTTTGTAAAACCTTGATTTGTTTTGTAAACCCCCCACCCATGCCTTCCCTGAAGAATGTGACTGTTTGTACAAATAAGTAAGTGTTTCTCAGCATTCTGCAAAATGAGTTAAACTGTTCTTCCTACGGGAACAAACAGACCCCTTAAAAATGGGTGAAACTGTCATCAGATGTCCTTCCGACTACCGGAACAAAAACAACACCTAAGCCAAACAAGGACATATTCCTGTAGGGTTTGCAAAATGTGACCTCGTCTATGGAAACAAAGAGTTAACCCTTGGTCATGACAAACTCAAAATAAGCTTTGTAAAATCCCCTTTCCTCCCCCTACTCTTGTGGTTTTTCCCTTTAAAAACTGTGCCTCACCTAGACTAGGCGCGCACCTACTTGGAGACAGGAGTATGTGCCGCCGCTGAGCTCAGTTAAATAAAGCGCTTTTAAGCTGAGTCCAGTTTTTGATTTTTGGGTTACAACAATGGTACAGCAATACTCCTTCAATGTTCTGCTGCAAAGGGTCAGTGTTTCCTCCCTCGTCCACTGTGGACTAGTGCTTTGTAAAATAATCAAAATGTCACAGCAAGGTCAAAAGTTTGTCAGGCTTTCACTTCCCATTCTTAGCAGCTCATGATGAAGGGACATGGATGGTACTTGGAGGAGCACACGCGCAGAGGAAGCACCCCTTCCCACTGTAGGGATTGGGGGAACGCCCCCACCTCACAGGGCGCAGGGGCTGCCGAGACTTCCGGCCTTCGGGCCCCGCTTCTTACCTCATCGCTGGGCATCAGCCCCTCACGCACGTCTCTGAGTATGCATTTCGTACGTTAATTATAATGTTAAGGCAGCCAGCCGGTAATAACCGAGCCTCCCGCATGACACCCTGTTTTCGCTTCCCTTACTCAGCCTCCGCAGTCAGAGAGCAGGGGCCACCAGATGCAGCGTGCCAACCACATTCTGTGTGAGCTAACTGCGAGAAGAACCCAGCTCTGGGTCTGGACAGCTTCCAAACTTGCAAGGATTTCCAAGAGCTTGCAATTTGAAGACTCCAAGTAAAATGCCTGAGCTCCTAAGATAAGCACCAGGGCCTGGGGCTCCTGAGGGTGAGGGGAGGTGAATGTCAGCCTCAGAAACACAGCTCCGCCCCACGTCCTGAACTGCCTCGGCCCAAGGTGTGACGTGTGCAACTGCTGCCATGTTCCTCTCACGTTTTTATTTTATTTGTTGTATTTTAGGGAAGGGTCTACAGGGTGCTCAGGGTCTCACTACTAGATCAGACTCTTAGTGATCCGCCTGTTTACAGCCTCCCAAGAGCTGGGATTACAGGCGTGCGCCACCACACCCAGGCTCAATTGCCATCTCAGCCTGCCCCAGGGGCAGGGCGGGCACCACAGGCCCGGGATTGAACCCCTGGCCCCTGTGTCTGCTAGCAAATGCTTTAATCCGCTGAACTATTTGACCAGCCCTCCTCTCACTTTTTTTTAAAATTTATTCATTTTAATGAGAAAAAAGATAAAATTGCAATGGAACAGTTTCAAAACAGGTTAGTAGACCAGTTACAATAATTAATACATTCACTGCCTACTGTCTTCATAGTAGTTATTCAGAGGACAAGATATAGACATGATATCTTGTCTAATCCTCTCACTTTTCGCTGCTGCTATTTTTTGCAGTCGTTGCTGCTTTCTGGCCTCTGGAACTCGGGCACCACGATGGGAGGTCTCATCTGGGAGCTCGGCAGAGGTGGTTCTGTGCTTCTAGTCAATGTGACAAACTCATAAGTAGGGCCCTTCCTGTCAAAGTGGGGTCCTCTCTTCCTATGGATAGATTATTTTGCTTGTGCGTTGGTGGGGGGGATCTGGACACATCTAATTCAACCTTTGTATCCTGTTTTCCTTTGGAACATTTTCCTACAATGCATTTTAATGACTTCCTTGTTACAGAGAACCCCAGCTCATACTAGCTTGTCCTTCCACCTCCAAGGTGACCTTCAGGGGTGAGAGATAAAAGAGGCTCTCTTTACAATATTTTTCTATCCAAAGGATATAAAATCAGCTTGAAAATACATCTGTGGGCTGGAGAGATGGCTCAGTGGTCTAAAGCACCTACTTGGAACAAGCTTAGCAAAAGCATCAGGGACCGCGGTTCAATCCCCCAGCACCACATGCCAGCCAGCCCCGCCCCCTGGTGGGCTGAGCTGG